TTAACAAGCCACTTGACACTTTTATAGTTTAACTTGCTTTCTACTCTGATTATAATGCTCATTCAAAATGCTGAGAGACAAGAACAGGTAACGTTAATACTGCACGTGACAGATATTCAAAGTGCATAAATCTATGAAACCACAAACATTCATAAGAATACTAGGCATGGAATTAAACAGTGACTTAAAAAATTAATCCAAGGAAATCTATGTACATTTTAGCCTTTGGCATCTGGTCTATCATGTTTCTTCTTTATGTAGACATCAATTTGTTAAATCTATTAACCAGATTAAATTTATCTGACCACATTTCTCATCTGACAGATTGTCCACAGCCAATTTCACATGAGGTAGTTGGGCTGTTTAATGACATTCTAGTGAAATTCTCATGATACATGGGAATTATACATTAAACATGCCGTGGAACTGGCTCATAGCCTTCTAGGAAACAACAGAAGTACTTCTAGAGCATCCTTCCTATCAACACTGACTCCATATACACCTATAAACAGACATGTATACACAGGAGTCTGTGTGGGTAAGACTGACTTTGTAAGGGGTATCAGCCATCCCAAGGTGGTTTCTGTTTGTAAGGTACAGGGAGGAAATACTGACCACACTTTAAATATATGAAATATTTAGAACAAGCAGGATGTTATTCTTACATTCTCACATAGCTTAGCTGAAAACATTTGTTCACTCTGGAACAGAAGTGATTAATACGGGAAACAAAGAATTTTGAAGACTTTTGCATTGCAGAGTAGTGGTATTTTTTTCCTTTTAATTAAAGGCTATATAAAAACAGCAGAGGAGAAAGATCAATGCATGCATCAACTGTACCAGAGAGGCACTGTTAATGACTGTTTAATCATGCCCTGGAGTGCCTGAATGCAGCAGTGCAATGAGAAATCATGCAAATGGTCACTGTACACAGGACTATTGACTGTCTGAGACAGGATGGGAATTGGGAACATTTACAGGGAAGGTCTAGTAAACAGTATATTTATGGAATTGTTGAAAGAACTCCTAATGACCTTGTAATACAGATAAACAGTCTTAAAATACCATTAGACAGCTAGTGAATTGTTTTTTATGAAATGACTATGAAACCCCTGAGTAAGCAACTGCAGATTACAAAGGGACGTACAGAAGTAGAATGTACTTCTAACGAAAGCATTCTATATACAATTCATAGGAATACAAATTTACCATACATAATGAAGTTCGTGTGGAGACCTTACAAGATCACAGAGTATCTGAAGTCAGGCCCTCAAAGACCAAACACATTAGCTCAGCTAACAGAACAATGGCTGAAAATATATTTTACTTATAAATTCTACATCTAAAAATTTTAAAATTTAAAAAAGGTTGATAGATTAGCTTAAAGAAAGAAATGAAACATGAGGGAGAGCTGAATAGTTGTAAAACCTGTGACTAAAATCAGAAGCAACTGGTTTTAATCAGTGATTCAGAAATGCACCATTATATAACCAAGTTCTCATAGGACATGGTAGTTTGCTAGGAAAAAACTTAATTTTCTTCCAGAAAGTTCCCCAAATGCCTCACATCATCGTCTATTGCTCATGACCCTCTGACTCTACTGCCTTATCTGATATTTCTCCATATGTATGATTTTCACAATCAGATCAAGTTTCCTTAAAAAAAAACTCTTACTTCAGCTCCTCTTTCCCTCACTTCAAATTTAGTGGAGAAAAATGTACTTTACTTATTTGGTCCCTATCACATATTTTTAATTAAAAACACTTTTCTGAAAATATAAAGTTAAAAGCATCAACTTTTTGTTAATATACATGGAAAGTAATAACCAAAAGGAGAAGAGTGCAAATTTTTCAGCTGCACCCCTCTAATAATCATCTTTCCTAGGTGCCCCATGTCATGTCATTCACCGGCTTTCCAGCTACAAATGGGAATATGGGCTCCTTCTTAAGAAGCTCTTGCAGTCTGGAGGTGGGGAAACAGAATCCCCTCTGATCAGGCACCTAGCCCTGGGCTAAGTTGGTGCTAGATGCTCTACATATGTGCTAGAAGCTGCTCCTGAGAAATGGGGCAGAACAAACATAAGTGGGGGCAGATTTGGCGTGCTGATGGCAGTACTGCTGGCCATTTTCAGTAGCAAAGAAGAGAGAAAAGCAACAAGGCTGGACTATGAAGTTCAGAAATCCCTCATCATGGAATATGACATTGGGGGAAGTTTAATAATCAGAATGACATGCAAATAATGGTAAGAAGGTGCCTGAAGCCACTACTTATATATCCTAATGAGAACTACCCTTCAAAGTCAATGTCTTGGGCCCATAGGCCCAACATTCTTTGAGAGCTCCTCTTCTGGAACTCCCTTCAGAGCTACATCAAGAGCCAATGAGAAGATCATCTTCTCCTCATAGTTACAATTTGGTTTCACTCCCAAAAGGGATCTCTCCAATTTAACATTTTTCACCAGCATTAGCTATAAGGAATCTAGCTTGCTTTCAAAAGTCAAGAGACTTGCCATCATTGAAAATATTTTGTTTAATTCAACAAATACACCCTGATACCTACAAAGTGTAAACACTGGCTTTTACCATAGGGAGAAGTACAGGAACAATGAAATTGTGTGGAATTGTCTCATAAGGGGTTAGCCTAATGTTACTTATTTGTGTCTATAATACCTAACAGACCAATTTCCTTTTTCTTCCAGTTCTCTCTAAAGGTTATGCTAGAAAAATAATCCTAAAAATGCTTTGAGCAATGACAACAAGGTGATTACTCTGCCAACAAAATACTAGAGTTTTCTCACCTCCTCTCACAGCAATGGTGAAAGTAAACTTAGGTGTCCCAGAAGTCTTGGAGGGCAATGGAGAGAAAGCTTTAAATATCTTTTCTCATTGCCCCTTTCTTGCAAAGTGACTACACATCAGCACAAATTATGACTTTAACTACAACAGAGAGCAAATACTGTAGATGTAGGAGGAACCTCTGACTATGCCCAGATTCAGGTTAAGCTGAATTTACTGTTTAGTATTAGGTTCAATTTCTAATATTTTTATTTAAGGATCCTCAGTTCCTTAAGCAAACTTTTATACATCTTAAACTTTTATACATCTTAGGCAAACTTAATATGCTCCAGTGGGGAAAATACCTATTAAAAATATTACCCTCTTTCTACAGATGTGGAAAAAGGGTAATTGGAAAATGCAACTTATTCAAGCTATTCTGTCTGATCTGGTTTCTCAATGATCTCAGATAATATTAAGCCCCTCATTCTCAGCAAATTGAGTTGTGTACATCTAGGCACTACCTATACAAATGCAAAATGGCCATGCTGAGCAGCTTTCCTTTTGTGTGTATTCAGAGCTGGGGTGGCAAACCTGAGGTATTTTCAGACTGCTACCTCTCCAAGAGACCACAGAGTTCACCTCAGGTGGCAGGGAGCACCAGCAGCTGTTTAGAATGATCACGCTGCACAATTCTACCAACCACCTGGTATCATCCCCTCTAAATGGTACAATGCCTAAAACATCTTCATTCCAACTACAAGCAAAAACTGGCTGCTTTTTCTTTTTCCGTTTTAGGGGGCTATGTCAAGGGCAGGGACTATCCCCAAGTCCTGCCATCATATTCGTACTAATCAGAGAAGGAGATCTATACTCACTGCTCATGAGAGTGGGAGGGAAATAACACACACACACCCCTTGGCAAAATACAAAATAATCAACATCATTTTAATACCCCCCCTTTCTCCCTAGCCTTAAAACATGTGATACTGATTTTTGAAGTTTAAGTATTTTCCAGAAGTCTTTATGTGGGCAAAATACCTAATTAATCTGAGCTAAATAAATGTTGTTTAAAAACACACAAAGGCAAAACCAGTACCCCTCCCTACATAAACTTCTCTGACTAAAGAGAGAATTCCCTCCATCCTAGAGATCTGCAGCAGGAACAGGAACAGCATCATCTAGAGATGATGCTCAACTCAACCAAGCCCCTCAAAGGACCTTTGACCCTGGATAACTACCTTATGCTGGAACTTCCCTTCCTGTTACTAGAAGGAAGTAGCCTCTAATGGGGAAGGTACCCATGGCTTCTTTCCAATGCACACTCAAGGCAGCATGATCTACTGAGACTAGGGCCAGGGTTGGAGCATCACACTGTGCAGAAGAATGCCCACTCAACATTGTTTTATGAAATAATGTTTCTTAAGTTTTAAGAAGTTTAAGAAACTGTTTTCTTAAGTCTCACCTTTCAACTCTGACGCTGTCCCAAAGCTTCTGAGATTGATAAACAGCTACATTTTGCCTGCTCTGCATTTTTGCTGATTAAACCGAGATTAATTGGTAAGCAGGTTCAGAGCCATGGCCCCTGAATGCAATGCAAAGGCCTACTGGCTGAGTGTCAATGCTGGCTCAATTAAGAATGCTGCTGAGTAAACCTGCTCCACTTCTCACTCTCCATTTAGCTATTTTATTTAAATGGCGGCCTATTCCTTTTTGAAAAAAAAGGACATATCATTTAGTTCTTGAAGAAAACTGGTAATTTTGTAAACTAGAATTTAATCTAGTTGCTTTTCAATACTGTGTGCAGAAGAATCACATGTGAAGTTTATCGAAATGCAGATTCCTATGTCCCACCACCTAGACTCTGGTTCTTTAGGTCAAAATAAGGCCTGGGAATCTGCTGTTTGAACAATCACTCCATATGACTATGGTGAAGAGGCAGTCCAGGTCACAGTTGGAAATTAACTGGCTCCTCTGCTTAGAAACTATGTGACTGTGAACAGATCCCCCAACTTCTAAACCTTGCTTTTGAAGTGGGGTAATAATCCCTTTGAGTATCATTCCTTGTGATGTCCAATTGAGATAATGCATGGGGAACATGCTGGTAAATGGCAGGCAGTTGGGAGGTGTCATCTCAAATGACCTGTCCCGCCTCTCTCATATTCTCCCCTCCAACTTGGGGTGAGGGCACACCATTAATCTTCTCAGAGCAACGCATCTTCTTCGCCTCCCACAATTGCATTGTCACGTGAATGCCCTGAACATCCTTACTACACAGGCCCTTATCACTGACAGAGTTGCAATGAAGAAGGTCCACTGAAGAACATCTAGGAACAGCAAACTCTACACAGCTTCAACAAAGCAGCTTATACTACCTCCAAATGTCTAGTCTAAGTTGGCTGAAATACTGACTATGAATTATGGATTAATATGGGTTTTGTTGATTTTCAGCTTGGGTTTGGGTGGCCCATTAGAACTAAAATATAAAAACAATACAATACACAATAACAGCAAATTTGTTTGTTAAGTCTGCTCTTATAACTTGCTGTTCAAGTCTACAGCAGCTTATCATTTGGTTTCCAGTAGGCCTGCTGAACTGAAATATATAGCACCTTGATCTTTAAACAAAACACATACGCATTTTAAAAATTATAAAAGCACTGGGTTTTGCCTCCTCCTGTCCATCCCCCAAAGTGAAGGGGTTGGAGAGGGTTGAGGCTGTTGCTGGAAATTAAGTAGGGCAACAAAACACTTTAGCACTTTAATCCCTGAAGTTAGGAGGTGCTGCCCAGCAGCCATCATACCACCTCATCGGATTCCAGCCCGTGGACCTCGTATAAAGTGTCCAGTATGGCCAGCTGCTTCTCCATGGCAGGGAGGTAAAGGCTGAGGTCCCTCTGCATTCCAATACTGAAAGCTTCTTTCTGGTGGTCACCTTCCTTTATAGTTAACGCGGCCACAAAATCTTCATAGGATGGAGCTGCCCTTAAAGCTAACTGCAAAAGAATAACCCATGAGAATCTGCATCAAGTCTGTCTCTCACACACTTATTTTTATGCATGTGCACATGCACACACATACTTTCACACATACAAACAGCTGAGAAGAGCAAGAGTAAAGAAATATGACTACCCTTCTAATTTGTGGCTTCTCTAAAATTATGTTTCAAGGACCAATTCAAATAACTTTAAGGCTAGAAGAAACAAGTGTGTACTTGGGCCACCTTAAGGATAAATAATGCTATCACATCAGGGAATGCTGAGAGAGAGTCTGAGAAAAGCTCCCTTCTGATCCACAGTGTGATCCAGACTATTCCCCTCAGATCTTCAGAATCTATATGCATATTGCCATCATGGTCTTTATTCCCACATGGCCCGTCTTCCAGGGCATCTCATTCTCATATCTCATCTCTATATATTTCTTTGCATATCTTCTATTTTTCCCCCATATAACAATATTTCCTTTGTGCTCTTGAATGCTTTCTAGAAAGGGAGCTAACATTTGTTGTTTGCTTGTGCGCTGATGCTTTAACATAGTTTATTCTAGTTGATCTTTATAAGAACCCCATACAGTTTATATCTCTATTTTATATGTAAACGTCATACAGCTAATGAGTGCCAGGGCTAGGCTCTGAACTTGGATCATCTCTGTGTTTTTCAATCACACCACCATACTATGCCACTTCCCTAACAGATTTCCTAGGCATCTTATCCTTCTCTTCCTTTGCGGGCCAATATTCCGTAAGCTTGCTAAAATCTGTCTTCTGGTGTTCACTAGATCTCAGCAGAGGCTTTTTGGAGAATCTTGAATTATCATTCCACAGTTGCTTTCCTGATCTTCCTTATACTTTGAAAGTCTTTGAGAATCAGCCCTCCCCATTTTTGCAGTAAGAGAGTGACTGGCATTGTCATGCAGTGGCTAAAAAGCACAGACTTAGATGAAGCAGACCTGGACTTGAATCTCAGATCTTTCACATATTAGTTTGAGGAATTTATGCAAAGTGCTTAACTTCCTAGAATCTCAGTTTCCTTATTTACAGAAGAAGACTAATATCACTTTCCTTATTTTAAGGATTAATGGGATCTGTAGGAAGTATTTAGCCCACTGCCTGGCACATGATAAATACTTAGATAATGGTAAAAGTACAAGGGAGTAGGAAAACTGAAAATGAAGAGAAGGCAGTTATCCAAAAACGTAACAAAAGAAAATCTCCCAGAACTGGAGGATAGGAGTCTTCAGATTTAAAGACCTAACCAAGTGCTCAGCATAATGAGTGATAAAGACCAAAAGGGAGCATCATGAAATTTCAGAATGTGGGGATAAAGTAAACAATCTAAAACATCTTGAAAGGGACAAGGAACAGATTATATATAACAGAATAGGATTTTACAATAGTAATAGTGGAAGCTGGAGGACTAGAGAAGAATGTCTTCAAAATTTGGAGGGAAAATGTTTATTAACCTAGAATTCTACACTCAGCCATCAGCACTCTAGAAAAAAAAGGGGAGAACCAGTAATAGAGTTCAACTGTCCAGGCTGATTGAAGATGAAACCAAAAAGGTCAAATGAAGGCTAGTTAGTGACCAAGATGGAGGCAGCCACCTTGCCTGAAATGGATATCAGCTCAGTAGATAATTCAAAGATTAAAAAGTCACTATTTGGCTGATAAGTCAAATTCCTTGGATGTAAACAATGTTTCCCGCAGCAACTGAGATTAGTTAACATGAATTTGGCTCTGCAAGTTACCATGTTAGAAAACTCATAAACCTTCCGAAGTAGGCATGACTTGGAGAGTAATAGAGAGGGTGAAAGGGCCAATCTAGCTACAGACTCCTCTACTGATAAGGCTGTTGCCAAATGCATCACATAATCTATTTTCTTAAAAACCGGTTTTTAAGAAAATATTGCACCTTTATTGGCAATAATATTTAAAGCCTTCAAGATGTTTTTACTCTACAACCTTGGGTATATTACCTCATCACTTTGTGTCTCAGGTTTCTCTGTCTACAAGCAGGGAAAATAATGGAATATATCTCAGGGTTATGAGACTTAGAAATTTATGTATGTCAAGCACTTAAAACAACATCTAGTGCATGTTAAGTGCTCAAAACTGTAAACTGTGGTTGTAGTTCTTAGTATTCGACACAGCAGTTCTACTTCTAGGAATTTATTTTGAGGAAATAAGAATTTTATTCAAAAATGCATATAAACAGATGCTGTTTTATTTCCAACCTGTTTTATTCTAAACTTAGAAGCAGCTTAAGTCTCTCACACAGAGGACTGAGCAAATAAATTATGATATCTCCATACTAGGGAAAATATTATACAGTCACTAAAAATAGTGTTTTCTTCGAAGACTCTTTTATGGCATTTAAAAATGATAATGATAGATTCTATTCAGTTGGGGGGGATATAAAATTATACAAGCTAAAGGTAGAAAAAATGTATATACACATACAGAGTAAGTATACAAAATAAAGATAATTATACACATATACTATATGCATGTATATATAAACATCTATATTATATTTAAGTATATAAAATAGGTCAATATTTAAAAGAATATGTAAATTAAGAAGCTAAGACGGTAAAACACAAAAATGTTAAAAAAGGAAAATATGGACAGTTTTAATTTCTTCCCTTTCTACCATGATTTCTAAAATTTTTTATGAGTCTAAATTAGCATAATAAAGTTATAAAGTCCTCTTAAAGACTTATGCTTTGCATCCATTAAAGTATAGGATAAAGGAAAAAAAGATTTATGCTGATAAGTTTTCTACTATAGCTGCATTCTTATTGACAATATCTCTGGGATCTTCAATATTTCAGGATTAAATTTTGCCTTCTATACTGAACCCTTCCCCCCACACTTGTTTTGGGGCAACTCAGGTGTCAGGCACAAGCTAGCAATCACAATATTCACTCAGGGAGATCAATGTACACAGTGAGCATCCATTGCCTAAGAACTCAGTAGAGGCCTCTCAGTGACTGTCTTCACTGCAGAGAGCTCTAATGGAGGTGAGCACTAGCACCTTGGAGATAACAGATCTGAATTTAGACCTAGGCTCTGACATAGCCTCACTCTAGTACGTGGGGACTGGAATTAATTGTTCTGAAAGTATAAAATAGTGGGAGTTAATCCTGAGAATTAATGAAGATAAAGAATATGAAAGTACCTGTTAGAGTGCCTGGTACACAACAAGTGCCAATAGCTACATGGAAGCAATTATGATTATTCAAGGTGTATCGAAGGTAAGGGTGAGCAGTCTGTAGCTTCATTTGGTCCAGCACCTATCCCAGTGAACAGTGAATGGGATATGGAGCTTTAATCTCCATGCTTTCAAAAAATATTTCATTGTCACTAGAATCTGATTTCTTGTGCTGTACATTCTTCCCACTTTACTGGCCTCCCTAATAAAGCATGACCCAAACAGTTCTTTCTTTAGGCAAATGATGCATCCTTTACATCCGTAAAAGATACCATCTACAAGGCTACTTTATTCCCCAACCTTCCAAAGAATGTGAGTACCTTCTATGAGGCTTCCTGACATACAACTGCATGAGACTGCCTTTTCATGACCAGATTTGACTAAGACTGACCTTCTCCTGGATGGGAAGAATCAGAGTGTATTGCTGACGTAAAGGAGCCATCTACTTCTGCTATTTTATAAAGCAGGATAAGTGACCTCCCCAGGAGACTAGGAGTCTCAGGTTTGTGTTCTTCCTAGTTAAACATGCTGGGAAGAAGAGGGTGGTGGGTAATCAGAGCCAAAACATATGAATACAAAACACCTTCACGATGAAAATAACTGGCTAAGAAGAGATTTCTAGCCCTAGCCACTGGCACACCCAATACAGTTAATATTCAAAGACAAAATTCAATTAGGGAAAAAAAAAATCAACTAAGACCTAAGAATTAAAAGGAATGAATACAATGAGCAGCAGAGGGAGCTATTAGGTTGACTACATCACCTGAATGCATAATTTCCCTTCAATGATAAGTATTTAGGGTCACTGCTTCCTACCTACTTCTGCTAGGATACTTAAGCTTTTTACTACCTTATCAGAAAGGCAACCACTTTTGAGGCAAATCTTCACAAGGTCATTGGAACTGGCTAGAGTAATTAGAATTGGCTAGGGTAAAGCATCAACTCTTTTATTCATATTTCTTTAACAGTCTTTGCTATTCTAGATACTTTTTACTGCTGACATTTCCACACACCAAAGGCCTATAAATGTAAATGAAATAAATAACATTTTGTTCTTATCCTCAAAAACAAAGCAAACAAAAACACTATACACACATACACACACACGCACACAGACACACACACACTACCTTGTTTCTGACAATCGTAACTAGATAAATAACTGGATAAGAAGAGATTTCTAGCCCCAGCCACTGGCACACCCAATACAGTTAATAATAGGAGATAAGAAGGATCACTTACCGCAAAAACCCCTCGAACTACCCAGCCATGGTGTTGCCGCAATGTTTTACCATATGCGTTATCTTGAAAAGAAGAAAAACTCCATGAGGAACACTCTCATCAGAATTTGATGTGCTATTTGTATAATGTACTTTTTTGTTTGCTTGTTTGTTTTTAAAGAGACAGGGTCTTGCTTTGTCACCTAGGCTAGAGTGCAGTGGTGTGATAATAGTTGCAGCCTTGAACTCCTGTGCTCAAGTGATCCTCCTGCCTCAGCTCCTCGAGTAGCTAGGACTACAGGTGTGGATGACCACGCCCAGCTTACTGATTTTTAATTTTTTGTAGAGACGAGGTCTCGCAATGTTGCCCAGGCTGTTCTGGAACTCCTGGGCTAAGGCGATCCTCCCCCCTTGCCCTCCCAAAGCACTGGGACTACAAGTGTGCGCCACCGTGCTTGGCCATATTTGTATAATGCATAGTAGCACAATACTATTGGTATTTGGAAATTATGAAAAAAATCTAATTACAAGATTTTGGACCCCAAAAATGTAAAGCAGGAAAAAAATCTCAAAAAAAAATTTTTTTTTAAAGAAATGCAGATACTTCCACTCTTACTCTGGGTCCATCAATATATCTGAACTTCAGCTTATTATCGTGGTGGGAAAAGGTCAATACATATGAAGAAACAAAGAAGGAGGAAAGGATATTGAAAAATTGAGACAATACAATTAGAAATACTTTGAAATGTTTTGTGACCCTGAGCCAGTCCCTTAGCTGCCCTCTCTAACCATCTGTTTCCTCCTTTGTAAAATGATCTCTAAGGTTCTTTCCAATTTTAACATTCTATTCTGAGATACCAAATGTTTGTCCTAAATGACCCTATGACCCTGGATATACAGTATTAGAGCTAGAAACCTTCAAAAATATTTATGGAAAGAATGGCTTGAAGTTATTAAGCTAAAGTAATTGGTGAGAACTATATTAATAAAAGTCATTCATGTTTCATACTTTAATCTATAATTTTTGTCCCAATGTATTTTAAAAGGAGATTTTGAAACTGGCATATCATAATTTTAATTATGAAAAAAATCCCAAGAACCAGATGGATGCATTTTATGCAAAGGATGTGTTCCTGAAATTTGAATAATTCAATATATGCAAAATTCAAAACTGATTTCTCCACAGGATTAAATGCATTCTCAGGAAGCACAGATCTACATCACCATGATGCATTTTTATTTCAATGTTCCACTTTATTTCCTAAGCATCATCTCCAGTAGCAACAGAGCACTCATTTCTAAATTAACAGCACAGTGTACCATGGGGGCTATTTGACCTTCTTCATGTTTCTCCCTATCTAAATTCTATTCCAAGCGTATTTATTTTCATGTGCTAGTTTCAGCACAAGTACTACCACCATTTCATGAATGCTTAGTGTGACATTCTAAGGCTACAAAAATATTTTCAATTCTAACAAGATAAGATATTAAAATAACAGATAAAGAGACACTAAAACCACAAGTACAAGTTCCTATGCAGTGAAAAGCAATGTGGTTCACAGGACATTGTCAAGGGAAGTCAGGTATTTATTTGCATTTTACTGGCCAAAATGGCACTGCCATGTGGTTGCAGCTTCAACACAGTTTACAATTGAATCAAGCCTTCCAGTTTTGAAATTATGTCATTCTAGTCAACTTTACTTTAAAAATTGGAGTGAGGCTTTATTAATACTTTTAGTATATCCTACCATTTCAATTTTACATATTCAAATCTGCACAAAATGCAATTATGTTACATAAAATACATAATACATATTGCAATATATTTTATATAAAAGACTGTACATGTGAAATATAACAACAGATTCCTTTGGCTCTCTAAAGCTTAGGATATGTTGGAATGCCATTATCCAGTGTGTTAATGGTAAAGTAGAAGCAATAAGTGATAATTAATACATTCAAGTATGAAGAAGACTCTTAGAGCCTAAAGGAGAACCCAAAATTAAATTTAACTTTTTTCTTAGGAGAACAGTCTGAGTAAACTAGGGCATGGTCAAAGATATATGTCTTCAATGTAAACCAAACAAAACATAGGTGATTCTCTGTAAGAAGACATATGGCATCAAGGAAATTTCAGATGGTATACAAGACCTTAGTGAGGATATCCTGAGAAATGTGAAGAAAGGGGTTGCTGATTCACAAAGTGTATAGTACCGATGGGCAGAGAATATTAGGTACAGCCTCTGATAAAAACCAGCAAGACAACCAAATTTTCAACCATTTGAGCAGCCATCTGGGCTGGCAAGAGTGTACAGGTCCATGGAAAACATCCTGAGGTAAGTTACCAAGGTAAGATACTGCGAATCCTCTTTCTTGTGTTGGTATTCCAGGCAGGGCATCAAATGCCATTAGAAATAAAGAAATACCATTAAAATCTGCTGGTGGATATCTACCATGAACACCTGCTCTATTCAACAAGAATTCAGGGCAAGTCTACCACACAGTAGTATCTTTAGGTGATTTAAATTCAGTCAATTCCCTGTCCTCAAGAAGTTGATGGTTTATAGAAGAGCCAGTCGTGTAACAATCTTTATTGTATAAGTCAGTAACTGCTAGAGTACATATCTGTATGCAGTGCTACAGGAACAGTAAGAATGGAGAAACTAATTCAGCCTGGGCTGGTGGGGAGGCGTGTGGACACAAAAAATTCTCAGAAGGAATCCTGAAGGCTGGGTAGGGTAGAGAGCAGAGTGGTAGATGGTGCTGCAGACAGAGTGAGCATCACTGCGTTGTGAGAGGTCATGGCATGCTGGGCGATGGTGAACAAAATTCATTGGATCTGAAGAACACCAAGGCTTGCAAACTGGGTTGGGCCAAATTGTGAGGACCTTTATCCATCATGTCAAAAATTATGATCTTCCACCTGAGGCATAGTGGAAGTTTTGAAAAATATAACATTTATTGCTTTTTTGGGGTTTCACGATTGATGTCCGTTGTTGAAAATAAGGAAAATACTTTTAAAAGGAGAGAGCTAAAGAAACGTATAATCCTTTCTCCCAGAGATAACCACAGTGGGCATTCTGGAAAAATATTCTCTTAGTTTTTTTCCCCTGTACAGAGAATATTACCTTCTTCTGTTAGCAAAGTCATGATCATTCTGATTCAGAATTGTGGTAGAGAAGTAACAAGTTGAAATTCACACTTCTTTACGTCTGTAGCAAATAACAGCTGTACTGGTGCCTGACCCTCCAGCTCCAAGGCCCACCTGGCTGGACAGATTGCTTGTTTAAAAGAGCTCTGGGCCAGGCATGGTGGCTCACGCCTATAATCCCAGCACTTTGGGAGGCTGAGGCAGGTGGATCACAAGGTCAGGAGTTCAAGACCAGCCTGGACAAGATGGTGAAGCCCCGTCTCTACTAAAAATACAAAAATTAGCCAGGTGTGGTGGTGGGTAACTGTAATCCCAGCTACTCGGGAGACTGAGGCAGAGAACTGCTTGAACCTGGGAGGCGGAGGTTGCAGTGAGCCGAGGTCGTGCCACTGCAGTCCAGCAGCCAGGGCGACAGAGAGAGAGACTCTTGTCTCAAAAAAAAAACTCTGGATTCGGTGTTATGCCAACCTCAGAGACCTTATACTTTTCCTATACATTGCCATTCAAGTTAACTATTCAAAAAAGCCTAGAAACTCTTTCCCATGCCCTCTTCTAAAAGACAACAAAAAGACAAGGAAGACAAAGGTGCTGTGAGTCCAAACAGCATGGGGAGCCTGGCTTAAGGATGGGAGAGTGTTTGTACAGCAGCACATCTGTCTTCCCATTGGCCCTAGTAGACAAAGCAGCTGTTCCTTGTTATGCTTATACCTTGCCAGAGGAGAGTTCCACCTGGCAAAATGTGGGCCAGATGATCTAATGGGAGAAGGTGTGTCAAAAGAATTTGGGCTGGGTCTTGACTGAGATCACTGTTGCAATTTATTTATTTATTTATTTATTTATTTTTTTATTTTTTTTGAGACGGAGTCTCACGCTGTTGCCCAGGCTGGAGTGCAGTGGCGCGATCTCGGCTCACTGCAAGCTCCGCCTCCCGGGTTCCCGCCATTCTCCTGCCTCAGCCTCCTGAGTAGCTGAGACTACAGGCGCCCGCCACCGCGCCCGGCTAATTTTTTTGTATTTTTAGTAGAGACGGGGTTTCACTGTGGTCTCGATCTCCTGACCTTGTGATCCGCCCGCCTCGGCCTCCCAAAGTGCTGGGATTACAGGCTTGAGCCACCGCGCCCGGCCCACTGCTGCAATTTAAAACCAACAAATGAAATAAAAGTCATTAAAAAAAAAAAAAAAAGACTTCCCAAAGTCCTTAGCTGACTTCTAGGCTGCAAATATCCCTGCCATGTGAGACTGGCTGCATTAAAATAAGATGAAGTCTAAGCCTGACCTATTTTGGTTACCTAGAGAAGACTAGATAATGAAATACATTAATCTTCACTATAATACCCATTCATTATCATCATGCATGTTCTATAATCTGGGAGTATTTTTGGCCTCTGAAAGACATAAATGATACCCTTCTCCCAGTTCTTTGAGATGTGTAAGTTCCCCAAAGACTGAGTCAAAATTTCTGAGTAGGAAGCCTTGACAATCACCTTGCCTAATTCTTTTCCTTTTAGAAATGAAGACATGGAAGACCCAGAAAGGTAGTGACTTGCCCAAGGTCACAAAGTTAAAAGCAATGAGACCTGGGGACACTCTTGTTGCATCACAACATTCTGTCAAAAAACTAGTATTTACTCTGTAAACAATGTAATAAAAATGAAAAATATGCCTTTTCCAATCGTTTTTCTGAAAGAATTAGCACCTTATTCTGGTTATGGAAACAGCACAGTTCTCATTCATTTACTATTAGTAACTCAGAAACTTGCTATCAGGTATTTAGAGATTATGCCTAAAGCTTTTATAGTAACTAAGAGAACAACCCTTCCATTACTGTTGGTGGACAACCATTCTGTCCAGGAACTTTGTATAGGAAAGTGTTTTTCCACTGTAAACCTATAAGTGGTAAAGTTATTTGGCTTGTAGAGAAGACAAGAGAAATGTCAATCTAAGTCTTAAGAGAAAGCCTGGAAAGTAGATAACCAAAGCCAAAAAGGACGGAATTACTTACCAAGCTGAGGAAATGACAATCATAGCTCTGCAAATGTGCTTGACTAGACATTTCTGAGGCAAGAATTAGGAACTAGGAGATTTGAAAGCAGGTAGTCAAGTTTGGCAGGAGGCTGGTGGGAAACAGATAGGCACTGGGGAAGTGTGCTTGCCCTAAGGTCCTATGACTTCTAGAGAGAACGGTCCAGTAACTCAGAAAAGTAAGAATCTTCATCCGATAACTCATGTCTTTTTAAAGCATAGGTGGGCGAAAGAACAATGGACCAGAATATGGAGTCTAGAACAGATCTCTCTTTCTTTCTCTCTTTCTCTCTCAAAGTTGGTATTACACACAAGTGGGGAAAAGAACAGGTGATCCAATGAATGCCGCTAAGACAACTGGCTTTCTGATTGGAAATAATAAAATTATATCCCCACCTTACACCATTCACAAAAATAAATTCCAAGAAGATTAAAGACATAAATATGAAAGCAAACCTACAAAACTTTGAGAAGAAAATGTCAGAGAACATCTTTGTGACCTCAGGGGAAAAAGGGATTTCTTAAACAAGATATAAAAAATGCAAGCCATAAAGAAAGAATGACATGTTTGATTACATAAAAACTGAAATTTCTGTATACCAAAAGACACCATAAATAAAGAGCAAAGGTAAGCCACAGACTGATAGAAGACATTTTAACCCATAACTGAAGAAGATTAGACACTTTAGCCCATAACTGAAAAAGATTAATATCCAGCAAATAAAAAGAACTCCCAGGAGTCGATAAAGGAAACCTAAGAGAAAGGTGGTCAAAGTACATGAACAGGCAACTCACCAGAAGGAAATCAAATTGCCAATGAAGACAGGAAAAGCTGCTCAACCTTACTTGTTATCTAAGAACAAAAACTTTGGCAATATTCTATCATTTTACAGCCATCAGGCACAAATTTAAAAGGCTGACAATGACAAGTGCTAAAAAGAATGTGGAGTATTGGGAACTATCACTACTCTGCTGGTAATTATAGACTTTGGAGAGCAATTTGGCAATATCCAGTCATGTGGTTCAGCCATTCCAATTGTATTATGTACTACAGCAGCAGTTTCCAGTGCAGTCTCCAAACCAGCAGCCTCGGCATCACCTGGGAACTTGTTAGAAATGCAAAGTCTCAGCCTCACGTCAGACCTACAGAGCAATCTGTGTTTCAAGGAGCCTTCCAGGTGAGGTTAATACAGGCTAGAGTTTGAGAACCACTGTTCTGGCAGCACAGCTTCTCAAGCAGTAAGGCCCCATGAATTACCAGTCTGTAGACAGCCAAAGCCCCTGGGCCAGTCCCTCTTAGCTATGAGAAGCCTCCTCCTTTTTCTGGTGTGCTCTCTGGACATAATTTTCCATGTGATAGAGAACACGTGTGAAAGGAACATGTACATTGTATAATTGCTTTTAACAGTGAAAATCTGTAATCAACTGTGTCCATTAACAGTATATTAGTTTTTCTAAACCGTGGTCTATTCATACAATGAAATGCTAAACAGCAAGGAAAAGCAATGAGCCAGGACTACAAGCATCAACAGCGGCTAAAATCTGAAAACACTGAGTGAAGGAAGAATGTATACAATATGATACCACATATACAAGTTTAAAACATGTAGTACAATACTAGACGCTGCTTATGGACACATAAATATACAGTAAAAGTATAAAAACATGTATTACATAATGAACAACAGCAAATTCAGGATGATGATCTCTGGAAAACGATGGGAGTCACAGGATTAAGGGGTGACATGTAGGTACTTAACTGTATTGAACTATTTTTTCTATTAGGTCAAGTGGTAGATATTTGTTAAATGCCTGAATTATTTATAATTTTCTTTTCTGAGACAGAATCTTGGTTTGTCACCCAGGCTGGAGTGCAATGATGCAAACATGGCTCACTGCAGCTTCAACGTCCCTGGCACAAGTGATCCTCCCACCTCAGGCCCCCAAGTAGCTAGAACTACAGGCTTGTGCCACCACACATGGCTAATTTTTGTATGTTTTGAGGAGATGGGCCTTTGCCATGTTCCCCAGGCTGGTCCAAACTCGTGAGCTCAAGTGATCTGCCTCCCTTGGCCTCTCAAAGCGCTGGGATTACAGCACTTGGGCATGTATTTTTAAAAACAGAGCTACTAGGAAAGTAACCTCTGAATTCTTCATAGTGACTAAGCTTAAGGTAAACTGAGTTGTATGGACAATAACAAGTGCAAAGAGATAAAACAAGTACCCAGAGATGCCCTTTGTTAACTTCAGGCACTGTTAAGACTAACGCTTGTGCTGCCAGCCAGTCCTGTCAGCGGAGGCATATGCTGCAAATGGCTCTGGAAAGAGTATAACAATTCACGTTCCATAGTATTTTCAGAATGGCCAAGTTATGATTTGATGTCAAATATCTGATTATGAGTTCTGACTTTATCTCTCTCACTTATCTCTCCTTGTCCATGAAAGCCTTTCATATTAAATACGTGATTGAGCATCCTTTTAAAATCTTTTCTATTCTATGCCAGAAAAGGATCTTGGTTGTGTTAATTTTTACTGACATTTATGGGATCATTCTGAAGTGAGGTATGTGGCAATATGTTATCCCACTGAGCACAGAGCATATAACATTTAATACAATGGTGCATGAAATGCCAGAGCAACTTTCCTTCCTTCCACTTGCAAGGATGCTTTCCAAAACCTCTTTTTGATGTGGAATATGCAATGGAGAGGGGGACTCAGCTCTAAGGCAGATCATTAAACATATCTGCCTTGTGAACCCAACTCCCTCCTGAAAATGACCTCTATAGAATGTTAGAGGACACTAAGGGAACAGAGCAGCTCTTAGCATGAAACCACCCAAAATGTTCCACTCTGATCATCATTATGGGGAAGCCAAGTAATGGCTCAACTGCAAAAAGGGGCAGTGGAAAGTCTAAGGCCTCTTCCAGATGCTGGAAGTATTCCAGATCACAGAGTTGCAGCAATGCAATAACTAGAGATGCATTTTCCAGAAAGGTAACTGAGTCATGACTTCTACTGTATGTTATTTAGGACTTTTACATATAAATGTCCTATTTCCAAGGCCACTAAGACCACACAAGTTTCATGAACATTCACCTCAAACCTTTCTTAAGCAGTATTTTTATTGGAAAGCTGTCTAATTATGATGAAAAGGAGGCAAAATCAACTGATGCTATAACTAATTTCAGCGGTTTTACTTCTGCTTATTAAAAATCTCTTAGATGCTGTCAAAATCTCAAAATGATCAAGGTGTAGACAAGTGACAGGTGAACCTCAAAGGCCCAAGTCTAGATGACTAGGTCTCAAACTTTAGCATTGATTAGAATCACCCGAATGACTTGTTAAACCATGGACTGCCAGGCCCCAGCATCAGAGTGTCTGATTCAGCAGGTCTGGGGTGGAACTGGATAGTCTGCATTTCTAATGAGTTTTCAAGTGATAAAGATGCTGCTGACCTCGGACCAGCTTGAGAACCACTGATGGAGATTTTGAGACCCTAGGGAAAGTATTTATCCTCTTTAAACCTCAGTTTATTCACTGGAGAGTATTTGGAAGATTAAATAAAATATTTATCAAGAACTTAGTGTAGTAGTTACACTGGGTGCTCTATTATAAGTGATAGCTGTTTTTAAATTCAACTTTAGAATTTAAAAAAGTCAACAAACTTGCCTATAAATGGCATATAAATTGCACACTCTTTTACCTACTTATTCACCCTCCCTCATTTCAAACAAGGTATCAGTTCTACTTATAAAGGCTGGGACTTCAAAATGAGAAAAAGGAACCATTATCCCAGAAGAAATATGCATCAAGGAACCTACAGGTTCTGAATGACTATTGTGTAAACATTTCTCAAAAAACCGTTTACACAGAGCTTGTTGTGTTTGTGTCTGTGGGGGAGGGAGGGTGGGTTTAATAGGGGAACTTTGGAGGAAGGGTGGGTTTAATAGTGGAACTTTATCTCCTCACACTGAGCAGCAGCAAGAATCTAGGGATTTCCACAATCAAAGATAGGATTTAAATCATAAACACCTTCTTTGAAATAAGCCTGAACATCAGGATGAAAATGTCAAATTTACAGCCTCCCTTCTCTTTTCCATCAAAAATTGTGCCGAAAGGGGAAGAGAGGGAAGAAAAAGCTGAGACTGGCTGTGATTATTGCAGTCACAAAGCAGCATTTGCCCTTCAAAGTCTCCTCTTTCTTCACAAAGTCAACACATCCCCTGGGCCCAGTCTCCAAATCAAGTACAAGGTTTGATGAGAAACCTTGAGGAGAAAAGGAGAGAGAAAAGTGGGCAGAATCAGGGTTGGGACTGGACAGAAATGGTATATCCTCAGTTTCCTTTCTATCTTTAGCGGGCGGTCAAAGCCCATAAGCACATGGGTTCTGTTCCACCCCAGCTCCTGCAGTGGGCTAAATGGGATCAACATTGTCCTACTCCCCTTCCATACACAGCCCTAACAAAGTAATAGCAGCATAAGACATGCGGAGTCCACTGGGCACACAGTGCTGAACCCTGTATCTTCTGCATTTCCAACAGGTGGAGAAGTCTTTCTACTGGCATGAAAATTCCATACTAATAAGTCAGTTTGAAGAGAAGTTTCTGGCTTGGCACCTAAGCTTTGTAAACTTTCCATTACTGATTTGGGACAAGTAAGTCTTATTTTCTGGCAGGTTATTAACTTCATGTATCATGATTATGATAATGATGACAAAACATCATTATCACAACAATAGATGCTAATCTTGACAACTGAGCAGTGTTTGTTTTTTTTTAGACAGAGTCTGGTCTCAGTTGATCACCCAGACTGGAGTACAGTGGCACGACCACAACTCACTGCAGCCCTGACCTCCTGGGCTCAAGCAATGTTCCCACCTCAGTCCCCTAAGTAGCTGGGACTACAGGCACGCAACACCATACTCAGTTAATTTCTGTATTATTTTTGGAGAGATGGAGTTTTGCCATGTTGCCCAGGCTGGTCTCAAACTCCTGAACTCAAGTGATCCTCCTGCCTCAGGCTTCCAAAGTAGTAGGATTACAGGCATAAGCCACCGCGCCCGGCCATACTGTTTTGTGTACCAAATACTTCTGTAATTTTTTCACATGCACATACACCTACTTAATATTTACAACCAACTTATTAGGGAAATAATATCACCATTCCCATTTTATAGATGAGGAAAGTGAGGATCAGAGACGTTAAATAACTCGCCTAAAGGCAGAGCACTAATGAGTGGCAGGATCCAGAGAGCCACTCCAGAGCTCCTGATCCTAATCACTCCACAAGCCATAAAGCTTGACAGGCACGGGCTAGGGGGCATGAGTAGACATGCTGAATACACTTTTGGTACTTGAAATCAGGACACAGAGGGGAGAATATAACTGAGACCATTCTGAAATTCAGGGATGTATGGGGAATGTAAAAATGCAGGTGGCCCAGGGATGGTGGAGAAGACCCTCTGTAGGAGAAATGTGGACCTTCAAAGCAGGGGTGTCAAAGCCACTTTGCTTCAGACCCTATGTTGGTCTTAAGCAATATTTTAATCTTACAGTTCCCTAACCTGTAAAAATGGATAGAAATGAGGATTAAGTTTATGAAGTCTAAATTCTTCACAAAGTGCTATCAAAATGTCAGCTCTCATTTTTATGGCAGATCAGCAGTTGCTAGATGGGGCAGACTCGGGAAATCATGTGAGGGCACAATTCTTGAGGACTCATGGCCCAGAGAGAGAACTAACAGAAGGAAGTAGAACCCAACTATGACACTGAAAAAAAGCCACAGAGAACACTAGCTCCCTCTCAAACCAGAAGCATCTAATTAGTTTCTGTCACAGTTCATTTTTTTCTCCACACATGCCTCACGGCCCATGCTAGAAGAATTTCCTACAGATCAATGGTGAGAGTTCAGCCACTCCATTGGAAGCACTGTAAGGATGCTTCCAAATCTCAACATTTTCCAAAACTGGTCTGATAAATGGCTCTATCCACACATCCATCCATCTACCTACCTGTCCAATGTTTATTAAGCACCTACAATGTTGCAGTCACTACCTTAAGGTGCTGGAGATACAAGATGATCTCCTTTGACCAAGCCCTTCATCCCATTTTGGCTCCACGACTAGAAACTGGGATGCACAGAGCATTATATATTTGAGGAGTACAGGATGATGAAAACCTTTAATCCTACTCCAGGACATATCCCTGGGATTCCCCCACGCCAATCCGCTGTTATGGACTTCAAGCTTTTCTTTGGATATGTATGATTTTCAAGGACTATAATATATCTGAAGATTTAGGAAAACTAACTTCTTGATAATATTAGGTCTTCCTATTATATTTAAGAGTTGGCTTTCCATTCAGCACTTCTTTAAAATATACTGATTTTTAGTAAGTTACATCTAGATTACCAGGTCATTGTCTCATAGGTACTTTTAAAACAAAGCATATAGGAAGCAATGAATAATAACGAAATAAGAAAAGAAACATGAAATCCTGAAAAGTAGAAATATCCCCTATACCCTGTATCCTCCTCTAGGGGTCTCCATTCCACATTCTATTGATTCATCTGACAAAACATAAAGAACACTTACTCAGGGCTGTCTGGATATCCTTTTCCCCATTTTTCACTTCTGTCAAAAATCCCTTCAAAAATTTGAGACCTCTAAAACAAAATAAAGGAAGAAATATTACTTTCAAAGTTCCCTCATGTTGAATGAGTACAAAGAAACGGCAGACATCAGCTTCCATTTCAGTAACATCTCAGGCACAGCAGTGAATAGGTCAAATCATATGGCATTCCTTCCTGAACCTCTTCCCTTCACTTCCCTTTAGCTTGCTCTGGAGCCCATCCTTCATCTCATCTGATATACCTAAAGAAGTGGTTTTCAAAATGTGTCCCAGGACTAGTGGCTTTAGCATTACCTGGGAATTTGCTAGAAATGTAAATTCTGGGGCCCCATCTGAGTTACTCAACCAGAAACTGGTTCTGAGTCTAGTGTTTTTAACAAGTCCTCCAGATGATTCTGATGCCACTGAAGTTGGAGAGCTATTGATTTAAAGAGAAGCTAGTTGACTTTAATGCCTTTAAGATTCCTATCTTATATACTTATTAACAATATTTATCACCATCAAAAGGGAGGCAAAAAAAAGTGGTATTATTCATTAGGCCTTCTAGAAAAGGCTACACAATTCAACAACTAGATCCTTCACTCAGAAGCAGTCTCCTTTGTGCAACAATTTTTTTTGCTGGTAATTTTTTTTGAGCTAGATTTTAACTGCTGTCCCACCCCAACTGCCTCACCTCTTCAGCCACAAGAGGGCTTCAGTCGCCGAGTTCCTAACCTGGGCTACATCCGCCTCTACTTCGTGCAGCACTATCTTCTGGAGAGTGGTAAACTCTTCTTTGTTGGTTATGTATTTCTGATTTACTTTCTGGAGGGAAAGCAGGGAAACAACCTAAGTTTAAAATGCCGAAGTTATCAAGCAACTCAGTATAGTATTGAGACTTGTAAGTTTGGCAAGCAGGCCTCTAAGAAAACAAATTAAGCTTCTATTACCTTCTTCCTTATGTTTTCATGATAATATTTTTTTTTGGAGAATTCTATGTAGCTTAAACTGGAATTAAATAGTCTCAGGGTTTAAAGTTTTGTTCTTTAAGTTCTTTTTTCTGCCTCAGAACCTCTCTCATGGCTGTCTTTGGCAGATACTTTTCACTCTGAGTATAAAACTCAACAATCATTTGTTCTAATAAGACTACTTGCAACTATTCCACCTAAATACAATAAAGAAAGGTATATCTACAGGAATTCCTAATAGTGCTTCCTCAAAGACTAGTCTCCAATGACAAAAAAGACAGATTTTTATTAGGTACTGTATCCTCAAGAAGGTAACATTTAATCTACATTTAAAAGGGGACCCATCCCTTATTTCACCTGGAAGAAAGAGACTCAGAGAAATTTGGTGAGTTGTTGATGGTCCCACAACTACCACTGGAAATGGGCCTTTTGAGTCCCAGGCCACTGACAGCTATTTTCACTATATAACCTAGCTTTTAGAAAAATATAACTTGTCATCATTTCAACTTAAAAAAGCACAGAATCAGTGTGGACATTAGAGTGAAACCCTACTGAGCCACACGGTGCACATGAAAAGGCAGTCCTGGTTTCATTTTAAAAATGAATCTTCTACTCCCCATAAAGCTTAACTCTAGCATATAATAAAGGCTTAGTAATTCCCTTACTGAGCATTCACAATGTGAGAAGAAAGATGCTTGCTCTCTTAAAGAACAGTGATACATTTTCCACTTTTTGATTTATTCTTGCCAAGCACAAAAATGTTGACAACATTTTCCTTTATTTAAAAGTTTCCACAGAGACAAACCAGTATGCTCACCTTAATATTTCCAACAAGATCCATCTTAACAGGAGCAAACACTGTAGGGCCAAGTTTGTCTAGAAGAAAAGATCAAAAACATTTCTGAAAAAACAATTTTAAGTGGCAATGTTTTTATAATAAAGAAATAATAAATTTAGCAGATCCTCAACAACTTTAATTTTTGCTTCCAAATCATTATCTAAACATAACCTTCAAAAGCTTCCAGGATACTATTATCATCTTTTTCTATTACACTACTCCAAGGTGAGTTATAATGAGGCCCTAAGTGACAGGTGAGATGAAGACAATCTTATAAGTTTAGGATTCATATAGTAATCCTTAGGGCTGCACTGTCCAATATGGTAGCCACTAGATATGTGGCTAGCTAGTACTTGCAGTGTGGCTAGTACTAACCAAAATGTACTGGAGGTAAACTACATACCAAATTTGGAAGACTAAGTATGAAAAAGAGATTGCAAAATATCTCATTAATGATTCTTTTGGTTTTTTCGTTTGTTTTTTTTTGAGATGGAGTCTCTCACTGTGTCCCCAGGCTGGAGTGGAGCAGCGTGACCTCAGCTCACGGCAACCTCCACCTTCCGTTTGAGCGATTCTCCTGCCTCAGCCTCCCGAGTAGCTGAGATTATAGATGCCCACCACCACGCCCAGCTAATTTTTGTATTTTTAGTAGAGACAGGCTTCACCATGTTGGCCAGGCTGGTCTTGAACTCCTAATCTCAAGTGATCTGCCCACCTCAGCCTCCCAAAGTGCTGGGATTACAGGCGTGAGCCACCATGCCCAAACTTATTAATTATTCTTTTTTTTTTTTTTGAGATGGAGTCTCGCTCTGTCACCAGGCTAGAGTGCAGTGGCGTGATTTCGGCTCACTGCAACCTCCAACTCCTTGGTTCAAGCAATTCTCCTGCCTCAACCTCCTGGGTAGCTGGGATTACAGGCATGTGTCACCACACTGGCCAAGATGGTCTCGATCTCCTGACTTTGTGATCCACTTGCCTTGGCCTCCCAAAGTGCTGGGATTACAGGCGTGAGCTGCCACGCCCAGCCCAATGATTCTTTTATATTTATTACATGTTGAGATATTTTAGATATTCTAGGTTTTAAAATACATTATTAAAATTAATTTTTGTTTACTATGATAATGTGCCTACTAGAAAACTTAAAATTACATATGTGGTTGGAATATTTCTGTTGGGCAAGAACAATGACTAAAAAATAAAACAAAGAGGTATAGCTAAAAAGCCAAAAGAGAAAAGATAGTGGAACTCTAAAAAGAAAAAAAAAAAAAAAACTTGATTGATCTAAAAGAAAGGCAGGGACAAAGATAGGTAGCTAAGAGGCCAAAAGAGGAAATAAAACAGAATACTAAAAAAAAATTGATTAACTGGTGAGAAATCAGGGAAGGAGTTTTTAAAAAGGGAACAAAGACCATATAGAGAAAAGCAGAAAATAAGTAGCAAGATGATAGAAACAAATATCAAGATAATGAATGAAATTCATCCAAACAATGTAATTCACTACATTAACAAATTACAGGAAAAAAAAAATGACTTCAGCAAATAAAGAAAAAACATTTTATAAAGTTAACTCATTCATGATTATAAAAACAACTCAGCATATAAACACAATTTATATGTACATACTATTAATAATTGGAAAATGAAATAAAACACTTTTTACAACAGAATAAACAAAAAATTCTAAACTTTATTCCTAACAAAAGATGTATGATAGCTATACACTAAAAACTATATAGAACATTCTTGAGAGAAAATTAAAATGACTTAAGTAAACAGATACAGCATCCTCATGGATTGGAAGATTATCAGTGTTTTTGTTTTTGAGACAGGGTCTTGCTCTGTCACCTAGGATGGAGTACAGGGTGCAATCACGGCTCACTGCAGCCTTGATATCCCAGGCTCAGGTGATTCTCCTGCATCAGCCTCCCAAGTAGCTGGGACTATAGGCTTGCGCCATCACACCTGGCTAATTTTTTTTATAGGGACAGGGTCTCACTTTGTTGCCTAGGCCAGGATCAAACTCCTGGTCTCAAGCGATCCTCCTGACTTGGCCTCCCAAAGTGCTGGGATTACAGTTATGAGCCAGTAAGCCCTGCCTTCAATGTTGTTTAAGATGCCAGTTTTCCCCTAATTGGTTTCCAGATACAATGTAATCTTAATCAAAATCCTAAAAGACTTTTAAATAGGAATTGAACAGCTAAAATTTATCAAAAGGCCTAGAATTTCCAGAACAACCTTGAAAAAGAAAAAACTGAGAGACTTACATTATCTGATTTCAAGCCTTATAATTAAGATACCATAAGATCACTGGAACAGAAAAGAGAGTCCAGAAACAGTCCCACATTATAAGCATTAGAAGTTCAACTGATTTTTGACAGAGTTGCCAAAGCAATGTAAAAGGGAAAACATATTTTGACCCATGGTTCTTGAGCAACCAGATACCACAAGGGGGAAAAAAAAATGAGCCTCAACTCCCTACCTCACACCACACACAAAAAATAATTCCAGTGGTTCATAGGCACAAATGTAAAAGTTAGAGGAGTCTAGAAGAAAACAGAATATCTTCATGACCTTTGGGATAGGTAAAGATTTCTTAAGACACTAAAAGCACTAAGCATAAAAGAAGAAACTGGACTTCATCAAAATTTAAAACTTCTGAAAAGGCATCATTAAGAAAAGGAGGAGGCAAGCCATAGTCTGGGGGAAAATACTCACATGTCTACAATGAAATTTTAATTAAAAATATATAAAGAACTCTCCCAACTCAGTAATAAAAAGAAAAACAATTGACTTTTAAAAATGGGTGAAAGATTTGAACAGACATTTCACAATGGAAGAGATAGCGATGGCCAATAAAAGTGCTCAATATCATTAGTCATCATGGAAATGCAAATTAAAGCCACAATGAAATATCACTGAGACATGCAGGAATGGCCAAAAACAAAATATTGACACCACCAAATGCTGGTGAAGACGTGAAACAACTAGAATACTCATACACTATGAACAACTGTGCAACCATTATAACTGTCTGGCAGTTTATTATAAAATTAAACTATGAACCAGCAATTCCAGTCCTAGGTATTTACTCAAGAGAAATGAAAGCATAGGCCCATGGGCACAAAAATGTTCAGAGCAATTTCATTTATAATAGTCCCAAACTGGCCAAGAGCGGTGGCTCACTCCTGTAATCCCAGCACTTTGGGAAGTCAAGGTGGGCGGATCACATGAAGTCAGGAGTTTGAGACCAGCCTGGCCAATATGGTGAAACCTTGTCTCTACTAAAAATACAAAAAAAATTAGCCGGGCATGGTGGCACAGGCCTGTAATCGCAGCTACTCGGGAGGCTGGGGCAGGAGAATCACTTGAACCCAGGAGGTGGAGGTTGCAGTGAGCCAAGATAGTACCACTGCACACCAGCTTAGGTGACAGAGCAAGGCTGTCTCAAGAGAAAAAAAAAAAGAGTCCCAAACTACAAACCACCCAACATCCATCAATAAGAGAGTGAATAAATAATTGTGGTATATTCATTTAATGGAATACTACTTAGCAATAAAAAGGAATGAACTACTGATACAGACAACAAGGATGAATCTCAAAAACATACTGTATGAGAAAAGCCAGAGGCAAAAGAGTATAATATTCCAGTTATTTCAAGTTTCAGAATAGGCAGAACTAACCTATGGTGACAGAAATCAATAAAATGGTTATTTTAGACTAAGTGACACAGGGAACGTTCCAGGATGATGAAAACATACTATTTCTTGATAAGGATATGGATTACAGAGGTAGATGCATTTGTCAAAATTCACTGAATCATAACAGTTAAGTCCTACACAAGTTATACCTCAATTTTTACAAAAGATGTATAGTTAAATGGGTCATAAAGCAAATTTCAACACATTAGCCATTCTTGGTATTACTGACTTTATACAAGTAAAAGCGAATTTGATATAAACTTTTTTATATATATAAACACTATATATAATATATAAAATGATATATTTGTTATATATATAAATTACATATAATTTAAATGTTACATATAAATTTTCATAGATATATTTATTATAAATACAACACCTATATACACATATAACATATATACATATACATTTTTTTTTTTTTGAGACAGGCTATCTATCGTCCAGGCTGGAGTGCAGTGGCGCAATCTCGGCTCACTGCAACCTCTGCCTCCCAGGTTCAAATGATTTTCCTGCCTCAGCCTCCTGAATAACTGGGATTACAGGCATGCGCCACCATGCCCAACTAATTTTTGTAGTTTTAGTAAAGACGGGGTTTTACCACGTTGGCCAGGCTGGTCTCAAACTCCTTATCTCAGGTGATTTGCCTGCCTCAGCCTCCCAAAGTCCTGGGATTACAGGCATGAGCCACTGTGCCCAGCCATAACATATATTTTATTTATTTACATATATATATGTGAGATATATGTGTGAGATTATGTGTGAGATATATGTGTGAGACGTGTGTGATATATGTGTGATACGTATGTGATATGTGATATACATGTGATATATATGTTTTACATATATATCTAGAGAGAGAGAGAGAATATATCTTTAAAAAATCTTTGAAAATATGTTTTGGAGGCCGGGCGCAGTGGCTCAGGCCTGTAATCCCAGCACTTTGGGAGGCCGAAGCAGGCAGATTAGGAGGTCTGGAGATGGAGACCATTCTGGCAGACACAGTGAAACCCTGTCTCCACTAAAAACACAAAAAAAGTAGCCGGGTGTGGTGAGAGGCGCCTGTAGTCCCAGCTACTCGGGAGGCTGAGGCAGGAGAATGGCATGAACCTGGTGGGGTGAAGCTTGCAGTGAACGGAGATCCCGCCACTGCACTCTAGCCTGGGTGGCAGAGCCAGACTCCGTCTCAAAAAAAAAAAAAAAAAAAAAAAAAGAAAGAAAATATGTTTTGGGCAGGTATGGTGGCTCACATTTTGGGAGGGAAGGATCACTTCAGCCCAGGGATTCCAGACCAGTATGGGCAACATGATGAAACCCATCTCTACAAAAAAATACAAAAATTAGCCAGGCATGCGCATATAATCCAGCTACCAAGGAGGCTGAGGTGGAAGGATTGTTTGAGCCTGGGAGGTGAAGTTTGCAGTGAACAGAGATCATGCCACTGCACTCCAGCCTGGGCAACAAAGCAAGACCCTGTCTCAAAAACAAAAAAGTTTTAACTGGTAAAACACATTTTTTCACAGTGCCAATATATTTGAAGGCCTATTCCTCAAATACTTTTTTTACTTTTATGTATGGTTTCTAGAAAGATCCCCTTTTTAAATTACACTATTCTGAGGTCAGTATTTAATCATAATTAGAAATGAAATGGGAATATGCAATAATGCTTAAGGTCACAAAGTTTTAACTGTGTGTGTCTGGTGATTTGAACAAATAGCTAAGAAGGGTCATCTCACTGTACACACAGTTCGGGGTATTTCTCCTGCAAAATAACTACAGTGAGGCAGATTCTAGAGATGAATGAATGTAAGGCAACTGCAGGAATCTTACCTAAGACTGGAACCACAGCATAACATGATGCCAAGAATGCTTCTGTGGGAATGCCACTGTCTTCCAGAAGCTCAATGTCACTAAAGCTACACAATTTGGTGATACGGAGGAGAAAAGATTGAAAATACAGTATCAGCACTCTGCAGTTCAGAGGTAATTCATAGAAACAGCTGCCTCTCTGTAGGGCAAATCATTTGACTTGATATGCCCCAATGACTGTTTTTCTAATATGGTCTCATAAAATAATTTTCCAAAGATAATCCACCAAAGCAAGCTAACATTTGTTCACAGAGCACACTTCACAATCAGTTCCTTCGTATTCATTGGTAAGAAAGAGCAAACAGTAAAGCAGGTACTTGGTATACTACATTCTCTATTCTCCTAGAATATGCCATCACCTGAAAGGAACACCATGACTGATTTTCCAGAATAGAAGCTAGTATCCAAGCATCAGTGATATTAGAGAGTCTAGAATACCTTGTGTTCATAGTACTAAAGAAAGTTGGGATAACTTCTTTGCCTTCCTCCCAGAGGCATTCTGGAGAGCAACTTGAGTCTGATCCAGACTGAGTCAAGTTATTGTCATGATTTTTCAGGTTTTCTATTCCATCTTCCTTCATTATTTCACCTTGGACTGCAAAGTAGAAAATATCTATTACTAACCTATTATATATTTATTATAAAAATACATATTCATTGTTGAAAATTTCTAAAACACAGAAAAATACATAGAAATAAAAATTCATGAAACACTGTTCACATACACATATACATACATCTACAGACACAAACAAAACTTGAAATATGTGTAGATTTGAATCCTGCTTGCTTTCACTAAACAATGTATCATCATCATTCAACCCTTCAAAAACATGATTTTAATGACCATGTTATATTGTATCACACCCATGAGGGGCACTTAGGTAGCTTCCAAAATTTTACAATTATAAATACAATCACTACTCATTATTAGCACATTCTATACATATTTGTGAATTTGTCTACTTGCTAAAATTTATTTTGTAACACCAAAATCAATACACGCTGCACTTTTGCAGTCATTTGTGGACATGTGCAGAGTGGTGAAAACTTTGTTGCTGGACACACATATTCCTAGCTGAGGTAGAGCAATGTGATGTTCTGCCTTCTTGTTTCAGCTCTCATAGGACGGACAAATGTCCTTCCTTAGTGCCACATTTTATGCATGTTTGTGCATTTTGTTGTTTTTGCTGTTTAAAAGGGCTCCCAAGTATAGTACCGTCTAGTGTTCCTACCCACAAAAAGGCTGTGATGTGCCTAAGGGAAAAAAGATGTGTGTTAGATAAGCTTCATTCAAGCATGAGTAATAGTGCTGTTTGCTGTGAGTTCAATGTTAATGAATCAACAATACATATTAAAGTGTCTTTAAAGGAAAACACACATAAAACAAGGCTACGTATTGATTGGTAGACAAAAATTTTGTGACCAGAGGCTTGCAGGAACCTAACCCTGTATTTCCCCCAGGAGCAACAGTTTAGTATTTGCTAATTCAGTGGTCATGGTGACTCAATAAAATGTAACTACTGCAAATAATGACTGTAATGCCTAAAAGAACATCCCTGTCAATAGGTCTTTCTCTTTAAATCTAACTATTCACTGAAGAACAATTCCTAGAAGCAAAATTATCAGAGCGAATAAATGACTGCACTGTTTGGACAGACATTTTCTCCTGTCTTTATTATTTACCCAAGAGATAAGACTTCAATGATGTGTGGATTGTCTCTCTCAGATTAACAGCTAAGAAAACACAGCTCCTTCCCTCAACTCTCACACTGCTCCCCAATTCATCAAGAAAAAACAAGGTCTCTTATTTCAAGGTAGATGAGGAGGAAATTTTAATTTCATTTTCAAATTATTAAGTACTTATAATTAAAAGCTCTAATATAGTTGTCTTTGATCTGAAGTAGATTTCAGCGATTAGTGCCAAGGGATTAGCATATTTGAACTACAGACCTATTACCTGAAATGTGGGACTTTGGCTTGGTAAACACAGAGAAGACTGGGTAGAAACCTCACGGTGACTGGGGAATTCTGACATCCTCAGGCCCAACAGAAACCGGGAGGATGAAAAACTGAACTCCGGTAATTTTACACACTGTTAAGTCTAACATCATAATCTAAGTTCAAAGGACTTTTAAGATACAGGGTTGAAGGCCCTCTGCTCACTGCAGCCCATGAACACAGCCAAGAACACTGAGCAGGAATCTTCCTCTTCACTCTGCCTTCTCAACACCAGGTCAGGGTCAGATTGGATGAAAGAATGTTGTTCAGTCACAAAACCTATCTTGCCCAGCCAATATCCTCCTTAAGAGACACCACTATATGGTCTTGAGGTTAATCCCTATCGTGGATATACATCAAATTCCCAAATCTTCTATCATCTAAAATTGGTTTGTTTCAGACTTTACTTTTGTTTTTACCTGTTATATTATCATCTGTATTTTCCTCACTTGATATGCTGCAGTCTATCTCTGCAGATTTCAAAGATAAGGAATTCTTATTTTTCATTAGGATTTCTTCCTCACCATTTATTTCCATATTTAAAGATCCATTTTCACAAGTACTCAACTCCATTTGCCTGCAAATTTTTTAAAAGGAAAAAAAGCCAGAAAGTCATTATTTGGTCTTTTTTTTTGAAACAGGTCTCTGCTCTGTCACCCAGGCTGTAGTACAGTGGCACAATCACGGCTCACTGCAGCCTCAATATACTGGGCTCAATCAATCCTCCTACTTGAGCACTCCACCCTGAGTAGCTTGGACTACAGGTGCCTGCCACCATGCCCAGTTAATTTCTAATTTTTTGTAGAGATGGGGTGTCACTATGTTGCCCAGGTTGGTCTTGACCACCTAGCCTCACGCAATCCTCCCACCTCAGCTTTCTAAAGTGCTGGGATTACAGGCATGAGCCACCTGCCAAGCCTGGTCATAAATTGACTGCCCAGGTAAATGTGATCCTTTCAACATCCACTGAAAGAATTGTTAAATCAACCCAAACCTCCCAGTCTTCTGCCTCCAAGGCCTGTGATGGGAGCAGTCCAGCCTCAAGGCTGCAATTTAGAAATCAAAGAGCCGTTAATGGCTTTCCCAGCACCCTCAGCAGTCCCAATCTTCCTGCTCCCCAGCAGCATCAGGAAATAGTCATTGACAGCTCTTTGGTTTTCAATCAGCTTTCTCCAGGTGCCACTTTGTACACTTTACTTTCCTCAACTTCTCCCTGGGGGTCTTCTTCTCTCTCTCTCTACACCACTGGCCATTTCTCTGTGTTTGACCGGCCAGTAACTTTATTTTATCTTATCTTATCTTATTTTATTTTATTTTATTTTATTTTGAGACGCTCTGTCGCCCAGGCTGGGGTGCAATGGTGTGATCTTGGCTCACTGCAACCTCCGGCTTCCGTGTTTAAGTGATTCTCCTGCCTCAGCCTCCTGAGTAGCTGGGATTACAGGCGCCCACCACCAAGCCCAGTTAATTTTTTGTATTTTTAGTAGAGACAGGGTTTCATCAGGTTGGCCAGGCTGGTCTTGAATGCTTGACCTCAGGTGATCTACCTGCCTCGGCCTCCCAAAGCGCTGGAATTACAGGCGTGAGCCACCATGCCCGGCCAGGGAGAGTACTCCTTATAAAGCATGTCTGAGAGAAAAAACCCAGGAGGATCACAACACATCCAGAGGGAAATGTCAGCACATTAGGGTAACAGAAAAAGCCAATTAACATGCATGTAGAACACCTAATTCTATCAGTTAAAGGAACAATCATAATATCTTATTATTATAATTAGGTGATTATACCTAGCCTAATTAGAACAAAAATATTTTCTTCTAATAAAAATAAGGAGGAAGGGTCCAAGCTACATAGTAACTTCAGGAAAAGTATTTGCTATTTTCTTAAAAAAAAAAAATACTGTATTTCAACCTAGTAATTAAAAATGTAGGAGCATATAGAGGCAAAGACCTCAACAACAACAAAAAACCTACAAATATGCTCCTAGTAAGAATATTTAGAATAGGAGAAAACTGGAAATAACTAAATTGGGAACAATCCTTGTAATAAAGAAGTAAGCAATAGTATATAAAGAGACGAACTATTAAATAATTTGAGGCCGGGCACAGTGGCTCAGGCCTGTAATACCAACACTTGGGGAGACCAATGCGGGTGGATCGCTTGAGCTCAGGGGTTCAAGACCAGCCTGGGCAACATGGTGAAACCCTGTCTCTACAGAAAAATACAAAAATTAGCCAGGCATAGTGGCATGCACCTGTAGTCCCAGCTACTTGGGAGGTGGAGGTGGGATTGCTTGGGCCCGGGATATTGAGGTTACAGTAATTTAACCCACTTTCATGGGTTAAATCACCTTAAAAATTGAAGGAGCATTTAGGGGAACAGAAATAGTTTAGATTTTGATAGTAGGTTATTTTTCAACCTGCAACACTACCTAAGATTTTTATTTTTAAACACAACAAAATAGCACTACTATCATTTCTAGATAAAAGCACACTTAAAACAAAGCTCAGAGAGAAGTTTCCTCTACAAGAGAAGTTTCAACCTTCAGTACACCCTAGAGAGATTAAAAGTTACTAGATGTGATGGGTGAGATCCATCTTAGGGAAAATGCCAACATATTCCCTATTAGTGCTAAATAAAAGGTCTGCTCTGGGTTGATTCAGGCTCATTCAAAAGAGGAAAGTCAGATATGTTTACTTCCATATTATTTCAAATCCTGAGAAAAACCATTACATGATCAAAGTATCTTTTTTTAAACAAGGAATAAAAATATCCTTTTTTTTTTAATTTTTAGCAAGAAGAAAAAAAGCTACTGTACCTTTCCAAAGAATTATGAATTGGTATAATAGGATGTTTCATCTTTAAAAGAAGCAAAGAAAGGAAAGTTCACATGTTAAAACTTTGAACAGCACATATTGAGGATCTTATTACATACAAAACGGTAAATACGACCATATGACCATAATATACACTAGCCCCACTAAACAGAAACAATTTTAGGTCTTCCCAAAAGGCAGTCATTGATTCCACCTAGTCCTTCTTATTTATACAAATATATTTCTAAGTAAAAGGAAGATGATCTTTTGACAGACCTAATTATCACAGTCAAACTCAGTGATTAGCTTTCTTTGTAATTTCAGTTATGCTCATTAAACATTAATAAGTAGCAAACTATGACACAAGTATTATATCAAATACTAGAGGTATAAAGGTAGACACTATGGGGTTCCTGCTCTAAATATCATTTCAGTACAAAACAAGGAATATAAATAAAATAGGAGTATGTATAAGAGAGGCTTTTAGCCCAATTTAGGGATTCGGGTAAGAAGAGACTAAGTCTTTGAGGATGAGTATGAGCTAATCCAGGAAAGAGAGGTAAAGAGCATTCCCGGCACTGGAAAACGGCACAAAGGTGTGGGAGGAACTATTAACACAAGCAATGAATATGTTCAAGCTAGGTAATGACAGAGAAAGAGCTGGTAATGTGGGAAGCAGTTAAGAAGTTTTGACTTTAACCTACAGGCAATGAGGGAGCCACTGAAAGGCTTAGGTTAAGTGGTTCAATTTATACTGCATTAATAGAAATATGGTTGACTGGAAGGGTCAGGCTGAAAGCAACTATTAATAGTTAGAAGACTATCACAACTTTAGGCAAGACTCACTGGACAAGGGGTTGGAAAGAGGCTACATTAGAAACATGTGTAGGTGGTAAAATTGCCACAAGTAACTGACTGGATATGGGGTGCTGAGGACAGATATAAAAAAGGACATAAAGCAAAGTCCATTAAAAAACTGTCTTTATAAGTCACTAAAGGGTAATAGAGAACATAACTCACTATAAACTTTGAAACTTTTCATGATGCCTTGTTGCAGCCAAACTGAGCTGGACTTTTACCTTGCTGGACTTGAGCATGGCCAGCTGCGGTGATCCTGGTGGAGTGCGGTAGAGCAGCTCAGAGGTGAAGGCTGCATTTGCGATCTGCATGCATTCTTCCAAGGTCTTCAGAAAAGTATTACAGGTGGATTTCAGCAAAGTTCCCACATCAATTCCCTCCTATGAAAAAACCAGAGTGGAAGACTCCTTTACCTTGCCAAAAAAGAAAAAGCCCAATTGTGGAATGCCCTTAGAGGTTGTCCACAAAATAATAATAATGTATCCACCTGCTGAAATATGTACATCAGTTATAGAAGAAAAGCCCAATTTATCTATTAATCAAGTAACTATCGGCACTATTTGACTTTAACCTACAAGCAATGAGGGAGCTGCTGAAAGCCTTAGGTAGTAAAGTAGTTCAATTTACGTTGCATTAATTGTAACTCCCTCAGTCACGACAACCGAAAGTATCCCTCCTTGAGAATCACTGCTCTAGATTATAAACTTCCCAAGAGCAGGATTGAAATGCTTTTTTTGGTATCCTTCATCTTCCCTCCCATTCCCCTCACAGTCTATCTCATACATATTAGGCAGCTGCTGAATGAGTAAGAGCACCCAAAAGGAAGTGAATGCAAGTGGATCAAATCACCTTTTTAAGAAAAACTCAAAACACACGTACTACCAGCAGTATAGTGTTCTACTACTACCTAAGAAAATAAATTAAAATCTTTCATTATAATCTGCAGATGCATTGTTTGTCAGATCGAAACTTCTTTGAAAGTAGAGCAGAGACCCTGGCTAATGTGAGCCATTCTATACATAGCTTAACACCAGAGAAATCTTTTAATGTATGTTTTAAAATAAGTGAATAACGACTGTATTAATATATACTAACAATCACAATCCTTGCTGACAACGAAGAGAAAAAAAGCTGTGTCTCCATCTTTGAAAGCACTAGTGTATTCCAAAGCACAGTTACAAAGGTAAAACAAAATACTGTTAGTCTCATAGACGCACATCAATGTAAGACACTAAGTTGGCATCTTAATAGCTATGGCTATAGAAATGGCTACACAAGTCTGTAATTAACAAAACAATATGAAACTGGAGAGAAACATATTTTAGTATGACAGTACTAAAGTTAAAAGTTTCAAATATTATCAATTAATTAATCCCCAATTCATTCCAGGAAGGAAAGCTATACACTTGTATAAGATGAAATGTACATATTGCTTCTCTTTGTTTAATTTTGTTACTTTTTTCCTCTATAAAATAGTAAATTCCAAGACAGTCATAAAATTAGGTGAGAGTAAACACCACCTGAAGGAATGTCTGGTGCTTTTTATGTATATCAGTAATATTAATAATATTTTACCTCAGAATTGGCTATACTGGTAGTCACTTCTTTTATATTATTCATGTATATTAATAATATTAAGAAATAATATTTTACCTCAGAATTGGACACACCAGTTGTGGTCACTTCTTTTGTTTTATCCACTTGCTGAACAAGGAGGTCACAGTAGAGTCTTAGTTCTGACATTTTGGTTTTCAAGTTTTCAGTGTTTTCAGCAAACTCTAAATAACAAAATGCTGATAATTCAGTAACCAAAACAAACAACTGATTTACTAGTTAGGATACTACGCAGAAGTGGAATCCTTACTAGTTAGGATACCACACAGAACATATGCCCAAAGACAAATCTTTAAAGTATGGTTGCAAATGTGACAGGTGAAGACATAAGAACAAGAAAAAACAGAAAAAGTAGATCTCCAGTCTTTTAAAGTAGTATACATTATGTATTAAGTCAACATACCGAATAATCACCAGTATACAAAGAAGGAGACAATATACCGTCTGACCCACTCCTGTCAGAACTGGCAGCAGAGCTAAGGGGTTCAGAGTTTTGGCCTCAGTTCTGCCAGAGAGTTTTTCCTATCTATAAAATGGGGTCATAGCTGTTTATCTACTAATGCAGTGCTCTACTCTTACCTGGGAAAAACATTCTGTAGCGTCCAATTATCACTAAGAACACCGTTCATAATTTCAGCTGAGGACTGGTTTGGTATGCTGCCTTGTCAAGACTAATGGCACCCCGCCATTATTATTAGCAATGCTCTCCACTCACCCTCACATCGTGGGCTCAGTTACAATTGTTACTACTTTTCTGTTTCCTTCTTCATGAAAAAAAAAAACTGCATACACATTACCATCTGCTCTGAGTCAAAGCCAAAAGCTTCTAGAATTTGCTCACAATTTAACATTAAAACAACCAATGAAGAGGCCAATTTATGAATCTATGTAAAGAGTTAAGCACAACGGCCACACCTGTCATGATAGATGTTCCCTGGAACACTTTTTCCCATTTCACCCCACCCCAGCTCATCTCTTCAGGGTACCTTTAGGGCCATGGGGCAGGGAAGGTAGCAACTAGGACCCAGGCAGTAAGCCCTGGTATTCTTGCCCCAGTCCAAAGAGAAAGTCAGGCCACGGTTCTCTGGAGAACTTAACAATGTCCAGTGAATGAGCATGAAGCAACAGGAACCTGACAATTAAGCACCCATCCCACCCCAGAAAAAAAGTAAGGAGGAGCAGGGTGTTGCTACAGAAAACACCCTGATCCAAGGCTTATCCGGCTCAACTACTCTTCACCAAAGGTCAAGTTTGGCCACAGACTGGATACTCAACCATTTTATCATCACTAATCCTCATGGTAATCCTCCTGAGGTAGGATCTATTACCTCTTTTTAAAAGATGAAGAAATTAAGAGTAAGAAAGGTTAAGTGACCGATGCCAAGGTTATACAGTCAATAAACTGCAAAGCCATCATGTGTACCCAGCTGTGTTTGGCTCCAAAGCCTGCACTCTTTGCACTATGCTATGCCAAGAAAGAAGAGTTAGATATGGACCCTGGCTTACATTATACTAAGATACATAGCATTTGCATCATACTTCTGGTCAGAAGCAAGATAACAAACAAGGGAAATCAGAGATGCCAGTGGGTGATTCCCAAGGTTTCCACAGCAAAGGACAATCAATACTTGCCTTTCTCCTTCTGGGTCCTACTGTCAGTCAGGCAAGCCTTGGCTGATCCCAGGGCCACCAGCCACCGCTGTCTTTCAGCCACACTTCTGGCCTTCAGGTAGAAATACTGTTCCCCAGGGATTATCAGGTCCATGCGTGTATTATCTACAGAATGAACTGGGACCAAGACAAAGGGAGATCAGAGACCTAGAAGAGCCCTGTCTGGGTAGCCTCCATCCCACCCAACTTCTTCAGCTTAACTGATGGCAGTCATTGAAGGCTTCTTCCCAAAGAGGATGCCGGTCCTCATTACCTCTCCTAATTCACACAAAGTTCTGTTTACTTATCTCATCTTAGACATCTCTGTTAATCAAGAGGGAAAACCTTGCAATACCCCCAAGGCATCACCAAGACTTTGGCCCAAACAATAATCACCCAATTTAACTTTTCAGTTAAACTGATCCCTTATAGGAATAGAGAAGGAACCTCTCTTTCAGTGGGTATGTGTGTTAAGTAGGCTGCTCTGAGGCCAAGAAACAAGGGTCTGTTTTTTACCTCCTTGGATTTATTGGGCAATAATCAAAAATACAATCTTTTCCATCTTCTACTTCCCTTGACAAGTCAGACCAAAAGTGTGAGAATTTTCTCAGAGGCCTTTAGGAGAAGAAACAAGCAAACCGAACTCTTTCACCCACATCCACTATCTAAATTCCCATTTAATCTGTTTTTCTTCTGAGCCACACCTTGTCAGCATGTCTCAAGACAAAAACAAGAAGTAAAGACTATTTGAAAGTCTGTTAGGTTTTTGCTTGTTTTGTTTTGGTGGAGGGTGTGTGTGTGTCCATCCTGATTTAAACACAAAAGTGTTTGATGCTGCAGTAAAGACTTCAAGTTTTGCTAACAGCCACTGGTCCCAGGTGAGCAGGTCACTAAGGAATGAGTGCTAGTTGAATAGTGAAGCACGTTGCTTTCATTTATTTTGACCACCTCTTAGCCAATCTTCTTATAAAAGTTGGCTACAGTTTTGGGTTTTATTTGCAAGGCTTTCTTTTGACACATAACACTATGTCCTTTGGTCTGTACTATGGAAGCAGCAGAGAAAGGTATGCAGGGGCCAGGGGCTTTTTTGTTTTTGAGGGAAAACAGAAAGAAAAATAAAACTCGCAAGTTGCTTGATTCCTCACCTTGAATTTCACAGACTGCCATTTGTATGCTCCCTTTGCAACCTTTCCAGGCATCTTCAGGAGAATCATAATAGGACAATATTCCCCCACAGAGAAGGAACCATCGAGGCTGCCAACCTGAAAACAAAAGCAAGAGCAACATTGCAATTACTGCCTGTGTATGAAGTACCTCCCAAGATACAGAAATAGAGCCTAACATAGGATACTGGGTTAGCTCCAAGGAGCTTTACATTGCCAGGGTTATTCTAAGAGAAAGAATTAAGTTAGAGAGACCTGTATGTTTTATTCCATTTTTATAAAATTAAAAATGCCCCCAAAAAAATATATATATATATTTTTTTTTTGAGATGGAGTCTAGCTCGGTCGCCCAGGCTGGAGTGCAGTGGCACGATCTTGGCTCACTGCACGCTCCGCCACCCAGGTTCACACCATACTCCTGCCTCAGCCTCCCAAGTAGCTGGGACTACAGGCACCCGCTGCCACGCCCGGTTAATTTTTTGCATTTTTAGTAGAGACTGGGTTTCACTGTGTTAGCCAGGATGGTCTCGATCTCCTGACCTTGTGATCCGTCCGCCTCGGCCTCCCAAAGTGCTGGGATTACAGGCGTGAGCCACCGCGCCCAGCCAGAGGTATATATTTTTTAGTCACATGATTACAGAAGTCTGGAAGGATAAGCAACAAGTACACTGATGACTCTCTAGGTAATAGGATTTACAAAAATAAAAGATTTGTATTCTGTTTCTTTCCTAATACAGTACCAGTAGTCTGTGATTTTTACTTTTTCTAAGACGAATAATTAGGATGTCCTGAACATTACTGTTATCACACGCTTGCCTTCCTCTCTTCTAAGAAAAATTATCCAAAACTTAGAAATAAGGCAACAAAGATGACAAGGTCCTTTCAACAAATGTCATACAGAGCACCAACTAAGAAGCCTGTCTAGAATCCTATGACCCTTAGGAAAAGGTAACATTGTTTGACTTACTATTTAGTATTGATCCATTGAAATGAAGTAATCTTAAAACATTCAAGGCTTAACTACATTCACTTCAATATTGGAGAATTTCAGAGGACAAACCATATGTAGTAGAAATATGCATCTTATCTAGTCCTCTCACACACCCTATATTCTAGTCAAACCACTTATTTGCTGTATTTCTGTCTCGGAACTTTTGCTCCAATTGGATCTCTTCATAAAATGTCATCCCGGCCAGGCGCAGTGGTTCACACCTGTAATCCCAATACTTTGGGAGGTCAAGGTGGGCGGATCACAAGGAGATGGAGACCATTCTGGCCAACATGGTGAAACTCCATCTCTACTAAAAATACAAAAATTAGCTGGGTGTGGCAGCAAGTGCCTGTAATCCCAGCTATTCATTCGGGAGGCTGAAGCAGGAGAATCGCTGGAACCCCAGGAGGCAAAAGTTGCAGTGAGTGGAGATCTTTTCTGAGACTCCGTCTCAAAAAAAAAAAAAATCATCCCTGACTATCTCTGTGTAAACCTTGTCTTCTCAGGCCTCCTCAGTCAGATGCAGTTCTTTTCTTTCTCTGAAATGCCATAGCCCTCTAGGGATACATTTCTCTCATGGGACTGCCATGGCTGAGGAAGCCAGAGAGAAGGCAGAGCCCCACAGGCTGCTCAGCTACAGACATCTGATGGGCCCTTGGGGTTTGATTCACACAAACCAAGTGGGTAGGACACCAATGGTATCACTTTATTACGTTTTAATAGGAGGCTACTACACTTCCTGGAGCACCCCCAGCCCAAGATTATGGAACAAGGAACTACACTGTAACCAGAAGCCTGAATAGTCAGCACTAAATCTATGTGAAGGAGTTGGGTAAGTAGGCAAGATATTTCGCTCATCATTTACTTAATCAGGGTCTGCTTCTCCAGAAAGCGCAATACTCAGGCCTGCCAGGTACCATGTCTCTTACTTCTTTAAATAAAACTAACACTAATTCTCAGCATCCACTCTCCCATAATATCTCAACTTATCTTCTCACCAAAGATAAGTAATCTTGTCTTAAACTATGGCTTTTGCTCTTCTTATTACATTTTATATAAAGGACTTCTTTCCCAGAGACCTAGACCCTTTACTGAGTGTCAGGAACCCTTAGGCCTTATCTCTACGCTAGCAGCTGGCAAACTTCTTGGGATGAACTTGTAAATTTTTATTTCAGAAGGTGATGCTGGCAAGGCATGGTGGCTCACAGCTATAATATTAATACTGTGGGAGGCCAAGGTGGGTGGATCACTTGAAGCCAGGAATTCCAGACCAGCCTGGGCAACAATGGCGAAACTCATCTCTAATAAAAATACAAAAATTAGCCGAGTGTGGTGGCATACACCTGTGGTCCCAGCAGGAGGTTGATGTGGGAGGACTGCTTGAGCCTGGAAGGTCGAGGCTGTAGTGAGCCATGACTGTGCTACTGCACTCCAACCTGAGTGAGAGTGAGACCTTGTCACAAACAAACAAACAAACAATGTGATACTTCTAGACCTTGGCTTCAAATTCGACAAAAATTCAACTGTGAAGGCCACCACTCCTGTACAAACATTACAACCTGAAAAACCAAATCAATCCTCAGACTGTATCTTGTTGGGCAGAGAATCAGTGCTCCAGGAGTCAGACATTATTGGTGACGTTTCAGCTCTTTGCAAAAGTGTTTATTTACATCCTAGGCCACCTCCCCTCATTGAAACAGAAGAGTCAATTTCTGAGAACCTGAGAAAAGGAAGAGGTCTTTGAAATCACACAGTCCAACCAGCATATTTTATAGATAAGGAAACCAATCCCAGGTAAATTAAGTGACCTAATTAGGGTCACAAAGGAAGTACACAACAGAGCTGGGAAGAAAACTCTCTTTCTATACTGCCCCTTAAGGCATGAAAGCTCCCAAACCTTGGCTCCCCACTCCCAGAAAGTTGTCCTGGTATAGAACAACAGCATCTTTTCACTCCCATGACGCTGGCTGGTGTGAACACCTCAACTCCCATGATGCTGGCTGGTGTGAACACTCCCCAAATCCACCATGACTTTTGTGTAGAAAGCATTTAGAACAGCCTCAATTACTGTATTTTATCAAATTTAGGACCCATCTGTATTTGTCAGTGTTATCCAAAGAAAAAGAACCAGCAGTGTGTTAGGGTGTGTGTGTAAAGATATTATAAGGATGTGTGGGTGGGTATGTGTGCATGTAATGAAATTGTAAGTAACTGGCTCATGTGACTAGAGACTGAGAAGTCCCAAGAGCTGCAATCAGCAAGCTAGGAGAGCTCCATGCTAGCAGGATAAGTTCCATGCTAGCAGGCTCAAGACCCAAGAAGAACCAATGAAAGCTAGAAAAGGCCAACGTCTCAGCTCAAGGCAGTCGCAGGAGGAATTCTCTCTTACTCAGTCCTTTTGTTCTCTTCAAATCTTTCACTGATTGGATAAGGCTCATCCACATTAGGAAGGGCAATCTACTTTATTAGGTCTATTGATTCAAATGTTAATTGCCTCCACAACGTCCTTCCAGATCCAACCAGAATAAACCATCACATCATCGATTTTAAGACACACCATTATTTTACATGACACAAGAAAGAAAAAAATTCTACCAACTAAACAATGACATAGCACAGGTTTCTAAGATGCTTCTTGATTTCACGGTTGTTGAAATGTGAAAAAAGACCCCGATCCCGGAGCAAGATGGCCGAATAGGAGCAGCTCCAGCCTCCAGCTCCCAGCGCGAGCGACACAGAGGACGGGTGATTTCTGCATTTTCAACTGAGGTACTGGGTTCATCTCACTGGGGAGTGCCGGACAATCAGTGCTGGTCAGCCGGTGCAGCCCAACCAGCGAGAGCTGAAGCAGGGTGAGCCATTGCCTCACCTGGGAAGCGCAAGGGGGAAGGGAATCCCTTTTCCTAGCCAAGGGAAACTGAGACACACAACACCTGGAAAATCAGGTAACTCCCACACTAATACTGCACTTTACCAAGGGTCTTAGCAAACAGCACACCAGGAGATTATATCCCACACCTGGCTGGGAGGGTCCCACGCCCATGGAGCCTCCCTCATTGCTAGCATAGCAGTCTGAGATCTAACTGCAAGGCAGCAGCGAGGCTGGGGGAGGGGTGCTTGTCACTGCTGAGGCTTAAGTAGGTAAACAAAGCCACCGGGAAGCTCAAACTGGGTGGAGCCTACTGCGGCTCAAGGGGGCCTGCCTGTCTCTGTAGACTCCATCTCATGGGACAGGGCATAGCTAAACAAAAAGCAGCAGAAACCTCGGCAGAGGTAAATGACCCTGTCTGACAGCTTTGAAGAGAGCAGAGGATCTCCCAGCATGGAAGTTGCAATCTGAGAACAGACTGCCTGCTCAAGTGGGTCCCTGACGCCTGAGTAGCCTAACTGGGAGACATCCCCCACTATGTGCAGACTGACACCTCACACCTCACATGGCTGGGTACACCCCTGAGACGAAGCTTAGAGAACAAGAATCAGACAGCAATACTCACTGTTCAGCAATATTCTATCTTCCACAGCCTCCGCTGCTGATACCCAGGCAAACAGGGTCAGGAGTGGACCTCAAGCAATCTCCAACAGACCTACAGCTGAGGGTCCTGACTGTTAGAAGGAAAACTAACAAACAGAAAGGACACCCACACCAAAACCCCATGAGTTCGTCACCGTCATCAAAGACCAAAGGCAGATAAAACCACAAAGATGGGGAAAAAGCAAGGCAGAAAAGCTGGAAATTCAAAAAATCAGAATGCATCTCCCCCTCCAAAGGAACGCAGCTCATTGCCAGCAACGGATCAAAGCTGGATGGAGAATGACTCTGACGAGTTGAGAGAAGAAGGCTTCAGTCAATCAAACTTCTCAGGGCTAAAGGAGGAACTACGTAACCAGCGCAAAGAAACTAAAAATCTTGAAAAAAGAATGGAAGAATGGATAACTAGAATAATGAATGCAGAGAAGGCCATAAACGAACTAACAGAGATAAAAACCATGACACGAGAAATATGTGACAAATGAACAAGCTTCAGTAACCAACTCGATCAACTGGAAGAAAGAGCATCAATGATTAAGATCAAATGAACGAAACGAAGCGAGAAGAGAAGTCTAGAGA